ATTATTTTATTATTTTTTTATTAAAGGGGGAAAATTTCAGAGTTGTTATTATCGGGGGGAAAATTTCAGACTTGATCCCATTCTTTTAACAAATTCTACAATATTAGTAGAATCTTCTATTATCAAAAATATTAAAAAAACATCTAAATGTTGAATTTTTTAGTTGGTGTATTTTATACTGGTAGGTTTATAGAAGAATTATATTTAAAGATGAAGATTTTATTATTAATAAAGATATTAAAGATTACGATGTATTCATATGATTTATAAAAATTTTCAAATGCGTTATATAAAATTAAAACTAGTAAAAATCATTCTTCTAAAATAAGTACATTAAGTATTTTTAGAAAAAATCATATAGAAAAGTAAAACTATGAAAACTTATAATGAATTAAACTATAAAAAATATGTTAAAACAAAAATCAATTATGTATTTCAAAATCTCAAAGATCATTTTAAAATGTAATTTAAGAATTTTTATTAAATAGAGAAAAATTTTACAACTAAATAAACTTTATTATATTTAAAAATTTCTTTAAAGATATATAAAACAGAATAAAAGTTTTTTGAGCATAAATTAAAAAGGATAATAAAATTTTAACAAACTTTGGTCATCAAGATGGAAATTTTTAAAAAGTTATTGATATGAAAATACTAATTTATTCTATTAAAACACTCATTAATCAACTAAGACAATATTTGATTTAATAAGACTTATATAATCTTAATAAATTAATTAACAAATGTCTTCCGAATCAACTTCATCAAATTTTTCTATAGTAAAGTTAATATTCTTTTTATCACAATCTTCTATAAAGTAATGTAACACATCACCCTTCAACAAATAACTATTCTCATTCATTTCAAATTCTTTATACTCATCTAGATTCTTTTCTGTATCAACTTTAAAAGACACTCTTTTGTATCCCATTTCCTCAAGCTTTTTAATAATGAAACTAACTTGTTTCTTAGGGTTCATTAGATTATAACTATAAACACCTCTGACTACTGTTTTTAGTGTATCTTTATCAACTAAACTATTATTGTATAAAATTTTACTACTTAAAATTTCTATAACTTCCTTCTCAATCTGTTCTATTTCATATTCTTTAGTTTTGGAATGTTTTCTTTCATAACCATTATCTAAAATATACTTAATAGGATCAATAATATTTTTACTCTTTTTAAGATAGTCTATTTCTTTGTATGAGCATAATTCACCTTTAGATATGTTTCTATAAATACAATCATTATGTAATATCTCACTATAATCTGTACAAGTATCATTAAAGTACTCATACAATTTATTAGGATACACTGCTAATTCATAAGTAAAATTATCAACTTTAAGAGTTATTATCGAAATGTTTACCAGTTTCTTATTGTTTGATGGTAAAAACATGGGGTTATGCAAAATTAATTTTTAATAAATTTACGAGATGTTAAGATAATTTTTTGAATAAAAAGTTTGTTTCTTTTAACAAACAAATCATAAAGTATTTAAATTGAAAATAAACATTGCATTAAGTTATAAATTTATAAATATTAAAGCAATAAAAAACACCTAACAATTTAAAAACAAATTAATTTTTTAATAAAATTTATTTATAAAAGCATCAATGAAGAATCTAGAAGAAATAATTAAATTTATAATTATTAATCTTTTAAAACAACATGAATTTGAGTATATAAGAAGTAATGCGTTAGATATACTAGTAGAAATATTCAATGGTTATCTAGATTATATTTTAACAACTATTAAAGGTAAAGTTAATCATTCAAAAAGGAATTATGTCAATCTTATAGATTTAGTAAAGAATAATAAAGAGTTGTTTATAAGTTTTGATATAGATGAATTAGATATTAGTAATAACTTAGAGTTTAGTTTCCAAGAAATCATTGAGGAAGAAACATGGTCTTGTCAATTAAATAACAAACCAGAAAATATAATCCACATTTATAAATGGATGCCAGAATTACCACCAATTCATACCTACAGAAGAACATTTCAATTAGAACGAGGTAATATTAAAGAATCAATTGGTGTTAAAAATAAAATTGACCAAAGCCTTAAAAGTGAAAAGAATATGTTTAAGCTTTTTAATACAAGTGGATCTCTACCTAAATTTATTAACTATTTATATAAAAAATAATCGTTTATTAAATATTAAATTTAATTAAGTTTGTTTATTTTTACAAACAAACATTAATTTTATTTTACCCTTCAAATTATGCTAAATATAGACATAGAGAATAGGAAAATTATATCCAATGCAAATAGAGTTAAGACTAGTAAATATAATTTCATAACATTCCTTCCTCACAACCTATTTGACCAGCTTTCTAAACCCTCAACCTTTTACTTTTTTGTGACACTTTGTTTACAATTTATACCATCAATTAGTCCCTTCGAACCTTGGGATTATTTACTTGCATTTTCAATAGTTGTTGGCACATCAATGATAAAGGATGGGCTTGAAGACTATCAAAGACACATTGAAGATCATGCACTTAATTCCAGAAGAACCAACTTAATTTTGAAAGATTTAAAGTTGGAAGAAACATCAGTAGAAAAATTAAACTCAGGAGATATAGTATTGTTTGAAAAGAATGAACAGATATCTGCTGATGTAATTCTTTTGAAAGGATATGAATTAAACCGGGAAACAAACAAATTTGAATGTATTAATCATTGTTTTATTGAAACTAGTAATCTTGATGGAGAAACCAATCTAAAGAAGAAAGCTGCATTAGTTAATGAAAATGACCATAAAGCTTTAGATGATTTTAGGTGTGATTGTATAAGAAATTATAAAAAAAACATTAAATCAATTGCTATTGAAGAACCTAATGATTCTTTTACTGAATTTGATTGTAAAATAGAGATTAACCAAGATCAAAGAAAGGATATTAAAGTAGGTAGTGTAAAAAACGCAATATTAAGAGGATCAATATTAAAGAATACTTCATTGATAGCCTGTTTAGTAATTAATGTAGGTAATCACACTAAACAAGCAATGAGTATTAACACCGATAAGAAAAGCACCAGTGTATTTGAACAGAAGATCAATTGGACATTGGGATTAGTCTTTGGTATTTACGCAGTTATGTTGTTTTCAACTACTGGTTACGGTGCTTATTATAATAGTAATTTAAGTACATTTGAGATTATTAAGTTTATGGCTTCATCTTATATTTTATATTCCTATTTAGTACCATTATCATTATTTTTAATGATTGAAATATGTAAGATATATCATGCATATATAATTTCAATAGATAAAGATATGTTTAGAGATTTAGATGGTACTAATGTGAATAGTAGATGTAGAAACACGGCAGTAATTGAGGATTTGGGATCAATTGATTACATACTGACTGATAAAACAGGAACTTTAACAGAAAATTCAATGACCTTAAAACTACTTCATAATTTCACTACAGGACAAAAGAATATATCTAACCTTCTTGAAGAAATTATCACTAGTAACATTAATAATTTAAGTGGTGAAAATAGGGAAAAAGAATTGTTTTTATTAAACATGCTTATTTGTAATTCAGTGGAAATATACAATGATAACTATGAAGGGATAAGTCAAGAAGAACTATCAATTTTAAATTTATTAAAAGAACATGGATATTTTTTTGAGAGTAGAACACCTGAAAAAATTATATTGAATCTTAATGGGGCTAAACTGAAAGTTTATATTCTAAGTAATTTAGACTTTAGTTCAAAAAGACAAAGACAAAGTATAATTTGTAAAATCAATGGAAAAATATTGTTATTTACAAAAGGTAGTGATCAAAAGTTATTAGCCGATTCTATTGATAAAAGTGAGGATATTGCTGATTTAGATAAAAAAGCAAAAGATTATATTAATAATGTCAATGAGTATAGAACGTTAGTTTTTAAATACAAAATACTTAGTAAAGAAGAATATGATGAGTTTAAAACTAATAAACAAATAGCTATCAACCTATTAAATAACCACTCAATGAAAATTAGTAGTAATGAAAAACTCAAAGGTAAATATGAAAAATACAATAATTTAGAATTATTAGATGATGTAGATGATGCTTTTTACAAGGAAATTGAAACAAATACAATATACGTAGGTTCGAGTCTAATTGAAGACAAATTAAGTGAAAATATTCATTCAACTTTAACTATGTTAAGATCTAGTTCAATTAAGTTGTGGATGATAACAGGAGATAAGAAAGAAACAGGAGTAGCATGTGCAATTAACTCTGGTTTAGCCGATAACAATGATTTCTTTTCAATGGAAGGACAACAGCTTGTTAATAGACTTGAAAACAAGGAAGATCTTGATGAAATCTTTAGAATAAGTTCAATTGTTGTTTATAGAGCCACACCTGCTCAAAAAGGAAAGATAGCTAAAATCTTACGAAATTTAGATAAGAAGATACTCGCTATTGGAGATGGAAATAATGATGTTGCAATGTTGAAAATTGCTCATGTTGGTGTGGGTATTATTGGTAAAGAGGGGAGACAGGCTGTTCTTAATTCAGATTTTGCACTACCGACATTTTCTTGTTTAAGAAGGCTCATCTTGTATCATGGAAGATTCAATTTGTTAAGATACTCTAAGATAGTTACTAATTCATTCTACAAGAATCTTTTCTTTATAATAATTCAATATCTTTATAACTTCTATAATGGAGGAACGGGATATCCATTTTATAAAGATTCTTTTATGAATTACTACAACCTGATTTATACTTCAATGATTCCGATGTCAATTGGATTTTTTGAAAGAGATAAAGAAATTTTTAAAAGCAGCAATGGAATTTATTGGGAAACTATAGAAGAGGAAAGAGCAGCACAAGAGTATGATTTCCATGCTGTTAAAACGTATAAACACATACAGGCTTATTTTACTAAACCAATTATTCTTGCTCATATCATAGGTGGTGTTTTACAATCAATCATTCTATTCTTTAGTATAAGATTTATGTTTAATGATGGAATATCTAATAGTTCTGGTAAAATGTTACAATCACCAGGAGAATCAATTATCATATCAACTATAATCTTTTTATCAGTAATTAACTCACAATACAGGATCATTTCTTTTATTAACAAATATTCTTATATTGCAGTCTTTCTTTCATTTTTCTTTGCTATATTCTTTACATTTGGATTGAATGGTATTGATTTCTTACACATGAACATATTTGAAAGTGAAATAGTTCCTAAGGTTTTTACTAATGTGTTTACTTATTTTATATTAGCAGGTGGTCTTATCTTAACATATTCACTTGACACCTTATTTTTACTGTATATTGATAACAGAATTAAAAAGATGCAACAGTCATATAAGTAAAATAATTGTATTTTAATTTTCTGTATAAATTTCTATTAATAAAATTGTCTTAGCAGGATCCCGTAAAGGTAACGGACTGGGCTCATAACCCAGGCATGTAGGTTCGAATCCCACTTCTGCTACTTAAATTATTTTTTTAAATTTTTTAAAAATTTTGTTTTATATTTAGAAATTAAAATGATCATCAAAATTCTTAAATAAGCTTTATTAAATATTCAAAAAAATTGTTTTAAAAACGTTTTCTAATTGATTAATGAATTGACCAGTCAATTATTTTCAGCCAATTATTTTATATAAATATTAATGTAAACGTCATATAAATAATTACGTCAATAATAGAGATTAATACTTTACAAATTTAGAATTGATTTTGATCTGTAAATACAAATTTAAATCTTATTGTTTACTTTTACCCTTTATGTGTTCTAAAAAAGAATCTAATGAACAAAAGGTAGAAATAAAGACATTTGAAGATTTCTTTGAACTAATGCAGTATCCAGACAAAGATTTAAGAGTAAAATATGGTAAGTGGCAACTTTCTAGGGAAAATAAGACATATATTTCAAATTCCACTGAAAATGACATGTCAAATTATAACTTCAAACAAAATACTTATAAACCTTTTGTAAAAAGTTCTTTTTTCCATGAAAACAACAGAAATATAGACGAATCATACTTTAACAGTAAATTTTTGTTCAGCAATAGATCAACTGAGTCAAATGATAAAAAAATTTCTAAAAATATTGAAAGAAACTTAGAAGTGGTTGTTAAAAGAAAAAGATCAATGAAGAATGTTAATTTGTCAAATTCACGGTCATTAAAGTTAACTAAAATGAAACGACCAGTTGGAATAACAAAAGCAATCAACAACAATATAAAAAGTCAAGAGTATTTAAGCAACGAATTAAAGAAAAACAATCTTATTGAGATACCAGAAAGTATATCAAATGAATCTATGTTACAGCCAGTGGAAAGTCGGGGAATAGAATTATCATCAGATTTCAAACCTGAAGTGTCATTTGCAGAAATGATTTATCAAGCTTTGTTATCTGCACCTGACAACAAGATGAGATTGTGTGAGATATACGATTGGATACGTAAAAACTATCCCTACTATAAAGAAGCATCACCATCTTGGATGAATTCTATAAGACACAATCTATCATTGATAGAACAATTTGAAAAAGTACCAAAACCCAAAAATTTAAAAGGAAAGGGTGGTTTTTGGCGATTGAAAATTAATTCATAAGATCAATAAATTAAGAATTTTATTTTTAATAATTTTTATTAACACCCCTATTATCAATTCATATGAAGGACTTAAAGCTTACACCAATAACTGTGAAAAGAACACATAAGACTGTTTTAACACCTGAGAAACCATTCGGTAAGGCATGTGCACATTACCTTTTTGCTGAAAGAGATACTGTAGTTAGAGGGTATGATTCAAAGGAGGTATTCCGGAATAATGGTGAATTCAGATGATAAGAATACCATCTTTTGTATATCTAAAGAATTTCCTTCTGTAGATAACAACATGATTGAAATTGAATCTAAATTAATAGGCTTGGATCAAATCATTTCATCAACAATTACTAATCATTCAGAAAGGGATATTAATTTTAAAAAGGATGATGTTATTGGAGAAATTTCTGCTCTTGAATTTGTTAGTGAGGCGTGGGAGAAAGTTGATAAACTTGATTCAACAACAAGAAATGACAAAGGATATGGTTCAACTGGATTTTAAATAGAATAAAATGATTTATTGATTTATTGTACTTTTATCAATCACATTTTGACTTATTGGTTTAAATTCATATAACTCTTTTGATATAAAAATATCTAATGATTTGATATCAGTAAGTAAGTATAATATTCCTTTTAAATTATCTTCATTTATATGTTCATTAAGAGTTTTTTTAATTAAATTTTCATCTAATTTTTTAGAAATAAAAACATCATTATTTTTTATTTTTTGTTTGTCTGCATTATCATATCCTTTTATAATACCATCATCATCTTTAATTATTTCATATAAATCTGATTGTAAATTTACTTCATCTTCATTTAAATAGAAAACAACTGTACCATTAAGTTTTTTAATCTGTTTCATATTTTCATCTTCATTCATTGTTATCTTTTGTCTATAGAGTTCAATCATTGTCTTAAGTTTATCAGAATCCTTAGCGTTAAGTATTTCTATAAACAAATCTAAGAGTTTTTCTGCTATAACCCTATCCTCTTCTTTTTTTAAAAACATTCTTACATAACCGGGATAGTTATGAAATTTTGCACAGTCTATTTGTTTTTTAATAAAATCCATTGATTCTTGAATGCTTAATTCAGTAAAATTACATGTCATACTGCTATCTGATGATTTAGATACTTCTTCAGTGGACCTAGATGCCGTAGCGTTATCTGAGTATTCAGGTACTTCCTCTGTGTCACTATCTGTAGCAACATTGAAGTACAATTGATTATAAATTATATTTATTAAATTTAAGCAATCCATAAAATAAATAAAATTTTTTAATTTATATTAACAATACTTTGTTTGTTAAAAGAAACAAATTTTAAATTTTAATACATTTTTATTCATTCTCTACTAACTTAACTAAGGATGTTGATATATAAATATTTCCATTTAAATACTCATTAAAATGACTGTTAAAAAATTCAACAATTGAAACGTCAAATAAAGAATTAACAATATTCTTAACACTATCGGGAGTTAGATTTATATTACATACATGTTCTTTTTCTTCAGGAAAAAGTAACTGAAAATCGATAATATAACCTTTGCTTGATTTAATTAATTTGTAAACCTGTGTATTTTTACTCATATCATGCTCGTCTTTGTAAAATATTATATCACCTGTAAATTCTTTCATTTTTTTAATATTACCATTTTTTAAAAGTTTAAGCAAATTTAAAAGATTATCAATAATTGATGACTTTTTTAAGTTAATAGAGTTAAGTAAATTAAAATAGTTGTTAAAATCTTCAAGAATTTTTTTGATTTGTTCTCGATTGTCACCCATAATTTTAACATGTGTACATACACTGATTCTTTCAGCCTTTTCAATCTGATTTTTAATAAAAAAATTAGATCTTGAGTAAGAACTGTCTTTATCATTCTGTCTTATCTTATTAAGTTTTTCTTTAAAGAAATAACTAGAAGATTTTGAATTTTCAACAGGTTTAGATATACTAGCACTTTCTTTAAATTGATCATTTAAATCATTATCGGGTAAATTACTACTAGAACAACTTGGTATACTTTCACCCAACTCATTTCCACATAAAATACAACAAATAAATTTTAACATACCCATAAAATTACCTAGTATTTTAATTATAACATTAAAGTTAATTTGTATGTTTAAACAAACAAATTATCTTTAAAATTAAACTTATTTTATTTTAATTAACAATTCAATAAAATCACCCATGTTTTTAAGATTAGTAAAATTATTGAATGCATACATGTCAATAGGGAATGAGTTACGTCCAAACCAGAAGAGAGAGTATGTAGAAGAAGTATCAAGTGGAGAAAGATTTACATTCATGCTCCAAAGTTTAGATTACAATAGTGATATTAGAGTTACAATATATGAGCCTAATAAGCAAGAAAATTATCCAAAAAATTCTGAAAGCATGTTATCTGAAATGTCAAACTACTATGAAGACCAATCAACCGTGTTTAATGACTTTAAAAAGAGTAAGGAAATAGTAAATGTGAAAGTCAATAAAGATAAACCATTTGAAAGAGTGTTTAAAAAAAGAGGAAAATACTATATTCGTATTGATAACTTAGGAGTAAATAAAGCATCATTTACATTAGCATCGCATGTGGCAAAACTCTTTAACAGGAATGAGAAAAATAAAGATGCAAATGAATTAAGACATGTGCTTGAATCAATTTCACAAGCAATGGAAGATTTAAGGATTCAAAATTTTCAATTAAATAATCAGCATAGAACCAGCCTTAAAGAAGCAAGAAACATATTGTGGATGATTAATTTGTTAATACTCTTTCCAATCCTTACTATAGCAGTAGGAGTTACTAGACACTACATGGCTAAGTACATGGTTATGCCTAAGAAACAAAGAAAGATTGGTCATAAATTTAAATAAATGATTGTTTAAATTTTATTCAGTCTTTCTCTTTTTAAATAACAATGGATTTTTTCTATAAAAGTACCAACTTGGTATTGTTAATATTAAATTAATTATGACTGTTGCTACCATTCCATGTATGACAATCTTAATCTTTTTAAAAATAAGTCCGAGGATTAAAGAGAGAGTAAAACCAATTAAGAATATACTATGCATCATAATCTTATTATGTTTCTGGCCATAATAATCTAGTTTGGGGTCTATTAAATTTGAAATCTTATTGAAAAGCATCATTAAGGGCTGTTAATTATTTTATTAATCTATAATTCTTGTAAAATAAAGAATCGGAATAAAAATACTCATTCCTATTGAGATAGAATCTCCTACTTGCTCAATATTCTTACTTCCTAATTTAGTTTCAATGTCATCCATAAATTCTTTATATTTCAATGAGAATCTGTTATTTAACTCAACAACTTTATTTAATAAATTTTTTGATTTATTCATTTAAAAATTTTTAATAAAAAGTTTATTTAATCAATTTTTTAATGATTTTTTCACTTTCTTAGATTTAGATAATCCATTTAATTTACCTTTTTTAACATCATTTAAATAAGCTTTTATCGTTAAATCAATTGTTTTAATTATTCCTTCACTTTCATTTTTAGTTTTTAAAAAACAATCATATTCAACTTTAAAAGCATCTTCTTTCAGAATATCAGTTTTATTACCAACTTTCTGTTTCTTATTTATTGTTTTCCAATTTTTGATCACTTTTATTTTTAAAATATTAAAATCTCTATTCATGTATTCAAATTCCAAATCTTCAATAGATACAAAGTTAATCAATCTTATCAAATTAAAAGTTAAATTAAACATCTCCATATTATCATAAATGTTAGTAGTTTCATAATCCAAACTGTTATTAATTTCTATTAAAATAGATTCAATTTTAACTATTTTCTTAAGCAAATTAAATCCACCAAATATTAAATTAACACTATTAACTTTCTTTTTACTTGTTTTAATTAAATTAGTTATTTTCGTGTTAATATTCAAGAATTTACTTTTACAATTATTAGATAATTTTGTTTTAAAATTTTTAAAACCATCTGCTAATTTTTTTCTTAAATCATCTTCAAGTTTTATTACATAAGGAAACTTTCTGTCGTGATTTTTCTCAATATCATCTAACATTGAATCATTATTTGTTCTTTCATTATAAATACACTGATCAATTACATATTTAATGTAGGTTTCTGATATTTTATCAACTTCAGACTTTAATACATTCAATTTTTCGTTGTTGTTAATATTATACGATTCGGTTAAAAAAATTAAACTACGATTAATCTCAAATTTTTTAACGTAATTAACTAAAACATCATTCATTACACTTTTAGTTAAAAACTTGCAAAATTCCTCTTTTTCTTTTAGTAAATCAGTATGTTCTAATTTAGTTACTTTGTTTAACTCTTTTGTAAAGTTTTGTTGATTAAGATATGTTTCTATATTCTTGAACAAACATAATACAATTGCAGAATAATTAATAAGCATCGTTTTTTCAATATTAATAAGGCAATTTCCGTTTACTCTGCTTTTTAAAGCTCTTTTTTCAATTATAAAGTCTAAACATGTGTTTAATTCTTTATCCGCGTAAAAATTTCCATTCTTAACAATAGAGTAAGATAAATTAAATAATAGAATATCTTGATGAATTAATGACAAGAGTGTTTCAAGAGAACAATCAAGCCTTTCTTTTTTATAAGCATCATCATAAAGGTCTATTATTAAAAAATTGAAAAAAGACTCTGATTTTATAATATTTCTTATAAATTCTATATCATTGTCTTTAGACTTGTCATTATTATTCTTATTAATAATTGGGTTAGAATCGTCGTTTATAAACTGTTCTAGTTCATTATCAAGATTTTTAATGTCTTCGTTAAGAATATCAACAGTAGATGTGGACAGTAATAAATTTAAATATAAGACTCGTACAAAGTAAAACATGGGATTAAAAATTTTCAAAAAAATATAATAACTTATTTTTCAATATTA